TATGTTCCTTTTAATTTTATTTACCTGCTGTAAGTTCTCTAGACTGGTTTTCCTAGTTGTTCATAACTTGTTTACTAGTAACTGCTTTTATACCTTTTTTGTTATAAAAACAAAACTAGCCTTTTGAATAATTCTTAGCTGGATTAATGTTAAAAAGGGTTGATATACCAAATTTGCTATCTAAAGTCGGTTGCTTGAGAAGCAACTTTAAACTGTGATCTTTTCTTATATTTTCTTTCTGTTCTCACTTGATATCACCCATGCACAAAATTCTCATGATAGTGTTTTAATACTAGGTTGAGAGCCCTTCCTGTTGGCTGTAGAAGAGGTGTGGTTTGTTTGTTTGCATTGTGTTGTGGAAGTCTTTCATGGGAATATTCCCACAGGACATACGAGGGGAGGTTGAAGAAGAGAATGAGTCAGAATATCTCTTGCTCCTGTGCATTCTCCCTTTCCAGCCTTCCTTTCTCACATTCCCGTGCCTGTCACTGAATGCAGCACTTGGAGGATATATTTCACACTTCCGAAAGGAAAAGTAAAACGAAAATAATTATGCAATATATCAAGTGTCTTACACAGCCAATAGTCTCATTAGTCACATAAACAATGTTTTTGATTATCAAGAGATGCTGAGCATTCAGAATTACTGTTAACGTAAATAAGATCTGTGGCTGCTCATCTTCAAGTTGTAACTAAATCCTCTTCTTTAGAATCCATTATCTGTAAAACTGATACCCCAGTTTCCCCAATTTCACCAGCCCACCTAGTGAATTTGTGAGAATGATTCAACAGGTGTAATATGAAACTGTCTAGCTAGTAAAATTTATTAGAGTATGCACACATTGTATGACTCCCTGGCCTTTATTGGCTTATTTTGAGAAATTCCTTTTAAAAATCTGCTTAAGAAAGAGCCATATATGCTTTGTGTAAGAAGTTTTTCTCAGACTGTGTGATGGTTGCCCTTTGCATCAGTTTCTTCAAGTTTTATTGGAATACTTTATGGATTGGAAGAATAACAAAGGGAAATGAAAAGAAAAAATAATATTTCACTAACAAGATCTTGAGTTGCCTGCATTGATAGGTTACTTAGAAAAACAAGACCAACAGCACCAGCCACCACAGCACTGTACGTATCTGAAGTCCTCACCAGGAGGTGAGGGTTGAGGTCCTCCAACTATTTTAATTGTATTAACCTCACCTGAAATAGAGTTAATATCCCAATTTCAGGTGAATCAAACACTTCTGAATCAAAAGCTGCTCATTTTTATCCTTTCTTGCTCACAGGCTAGCACTGTGTCTGTCCACATCACTACCATAAAAGCTGTGGAGTTCCATAGACTTCCTCCTATTTAAAGCTCTGTGCTGCTAATGCTTAACTTTGTTACTATAAAGGCAGGTTTCATACTTTATACTTTCTTTAAAAAAGAAAACAGAGCTTAAAATCTTTGTCTCTTGGCTAGCTATAGATAAATCTCCTGACTGGAGACCTGAACTGTTGCCCTCAGTCTCGAGCTCCACTTTCATCATGAAAATAGTTACAGGTAGCCCTGACTTCATACAATTTTCATATACATGTGTGTATTTTTGTTAAACGATGAAGATGAAAGTCCACCTTTTTGCACTTGGGTGCAACACTGACTTTGAAATCTGGAATCTGTACAGTTGTCCACATGTACAACTACATATGGAATCTGTAGTTGGAACTGAGAGCTTTTCAGTAACCTACAGACATGAAATGAACCTGTGTTGAAAAAGCTTAGCCACTTTAGCCACTAGGTATGATAAATATTTCAACCTGAAGACTTTACACATTTTTTCTTACATGCATTTTTCCAATGGACAATCACATTTTACTAATTATAGATTCCTTCAAAGTTGATCTCTGATAGCTTTCAGAATTTGGTTTCTTTTTTAGATCATTTGTGAATACGTGGAACTTTAAAAAGCTATCTCTAAGCCACAGACTATTTCACCTTTATTTTCTTACTTCCAAACCCCTTCTCATTTAGCCCTTATCTGTCTTACTGTATGGAGTATCAATTTGAATATTTGAGTGTAGTTGCTAAGAATTATTCTGAAATGCACCGTTCCATGTCATCAGAGTTTGACATGACATAATTCATGTCTTCTTACCAGATTATGAAGTGGTGAAGCCCTTCTTTTTATTAGGGACATGCATTTTAGCATACAAGCAAAAATCGAACAAACCTTGGAAAAAAGCTCACTTTGAATATCCGCATTGGAGACTTGTGAAACCAAGTGCAACCAAAATTATAAACGAAGTGGTAAGTGGAGATCAAGATTGAAGAGGGAGGATTTCGATTACAAAACCAGGAATGAAGAAAATTAGTACTGTTGGGGGAAAAAAAAAAGATAAAAAACAAACACTTGTGAGTGTGTGAGAGTGGATATTAACAGAGATGCAACAGCAAGTGTGGAAGGCGTAGTACAGCCTTGCGGGCGGTGAAGAGGTTGGGACTAAGGAACAGCGAGGAATGAAGACAGAGACCAGGAGTCAAGACTGAGGCAAGTCAGCTTTTGAGAGCCAAGTTCAGGCTGGAGGAGGTGGAGCAAGGTTGTATTTTCAAGGAAATAAAATACCTAGGATATGCCCTGCTGAAATGCCTTATTCCTACTTACTGTCCGTGCACAGAGGAGTTTACTTACAATCAGAGTGCAGACTCAAGATGGTTAATGCATTTCTGTTGATACCACAGCATACTTGTTGATATTAGGAAATGTCACTGAATCAAAGTTTTCCCAAGTGGCCATCAGTTTTTATGTGGGTTGCCTACTTCTGCTTTCATTGCTTCCCAGTGGCTTCATTTACAGATGTGTGGAGGAGTCTATATTTTAATTCAAAATTTGCTTTGAAATAGTAAGTTATTTATAATTTTATGTACTAAGGAAAGCCAGGTTCTCAGAACTAATGGATGCTTTTGATATTGGTCTCTCCCCCAACTGAATAATTTGTTTTGTTATGGTGAAATATGCCTTTAGAAAAGCTAGGAAGGTATCAGTAAATCTTTGTACAAAGCAGAATTTGAACAAGATGTTAAAATAAGCAAGAGTACTCCCAAGAGTAAGACTGTAGGTAGCAAGTAACACAAATTCAGCCTAATCTGACAAAACAAAACATCATACTTTTGCCTCTCCTTGACTATGTGAAGTAAATAGCTTGAATTTTTCTTATTTACACAGACATAATTTGAGTATGTTAAAATCAGTATAATGAAAATTAAATTCTCTATAAGGATTTCTGTAGTTAAGAGTGTCAATAAACTTAATAAATTGTCAATTAGTTGTATAGTATTTAGCCTTTCTGACTGAGTAACAATATCAGAAATAAAGCCTGAAATTCTCATTCAAGTCTCTTGCTCTAATTTTTAATTCATGCTGACAATATATTTACTGAGTAAAAGGAGGTATTGTTTATGCTCGATACTTGTCTTAGAACAGTCCAGGACTATTTAGGTGATGAGTTATTTTAGCAGTCCTACAGATACATAAGCAAAACTTTTTAGAAATAACTAATGATTTTGAATGGAATTAATACTGGGGAAAACCGTCCCCTGTGAAAAGTATCTTAAAACCTGAAATGTCTGCACTTTGAAAATTAGCCTTCTTTTGAACACAAACTTGGAAGCAGCAGAATTTCGTGAAAACTGCATTTCCTAGCTTTTAGTGCATTGATACTATATAATTAATTATAAAACCTTACATCCTTTTTGATCTAATGTCATTTTGTAGTAATGCTGAAAACTGGACTGAACTTTTCCAAAGGTTTCTGTTTTTAAGAAGGCCCAAGGAAGGCCCAAGGAATGCTAATAGATTTTAGAATCTCTGAGTGTATGAATCATGTGATAGGTGTTGGCTAGGAAGGGAGGCTATATAGGGAAGACTGAATTTATGAGAGCGTTCTCCTTATTCAGAGAAAGGCGTCTACTCTCAGCAATAGTGATCAAACTGATACTTGCTAGGCAACAAGGCCCAGATTAAATTTATATGGAAAGTAATGGATTTTGGAAATGTGATGTTGCTATGGAAATGATTTATTACAGGCAAAAAGGGAATTTTAATGAAGTCAAGCCACTGGTAATCTAATTTAAGTCATAATTCAGAGTTGTTGGAGCAAAGTCTTGAGAGAACTTGGCTGCTAATGTGATGTGTGCTTATTTGCTGAGCCTTTCGCTTTGCACTTTTGAAGAAATGTCAGTTTGCTGCTTCACAGTTCTTAATTGACGGAGGAGGATGTCCTTGGATAGAATTCAGCTGTTTTAGATGCCATTTATAAGGAATAAGTGGTGGATTTAAAAGTGTGGGTTTCTTTTGTTTATTCTTATTATTAATTTTGAGCTTACTGAACTTCATTCTGAATCTTAGCTTCAAGATTGCTGTAATTCTGAGGGGTGCAGCGTTCAATTTCCAGGCAGCCGTGCTCTAATAGTGTTGTATATACTGACAAATTGTTTGTCTTACTGCACAATGAAACCTGTCTTTTATTATTACTTTGAAGTCTATTTCCTGAAAAAATAGTCAGGACTATTCTCTTGCAAGCTGGATTAAAACAAGTAGTGGAAAAGGCATGAAATGTTCTGTTACAGATTTTTAGACTGACAGGCAAATGACCGTGGTTCTTGCACAGAATCAGCTCCCTGAGGACTCTGGATACTGCTGTAATGTTAGTAGTTAAATAGTAAAGTATTTGTAACCTTTGGGCATTACTGTAAACGACTCAGGATACAGGCTTTTGTTTCCAAAGTCATTTCCTGATATCATCTGCACCAGTAACAGTGATTTGGGCAAATGTGACCAAGTGTGGGCAAATTCTGCAGCAGACTGTGTCTCTAAAATTTTTGTTCTGTGTATTCTTGCCTATTAAAGAATGCTTAGTCATTTAACTTTCTTAAGGAGTATGTTATCTAGGAAGTATCAACTGCAGTAAATACAAGGGATGGTATTGGAAGATGAAGCTCATGTTGAACACCGCTGTGTTACAGGAATACAAGCGCAAGCTAGCCAGAGTGTCCCAAGTCCGGAAGGAGCTCAGGTCACGCATCCAGAACCTGCCTGATCTCTCACGACTCCCCAATGTCACAGGCAGCCATGTACACCTCCCTTTTGCAGGAGACATCTACAATGATGACTGATTGTAAGAATATCCTTCCATAATCTCTACTTTTTCTGTGAAATGAGGGGTAGGTCAGACTGGTTGGTACTCTTGTAGTATTATTTTTGTATATTGTTGGAGAGTGTCAGTAAAAATACTCTGAATAATTTATAAAAAAAATGGTTTAAAAAGTTGATTTGTTTGCTATTTTATTGGCAAGTGAACATAAGGGTACATTTATAAAAGAGTGGCATCTCTGACTATTGCATTAAAGAGTGAGTAATTATCTTATATTTTGTACAGATGTTTGCTGGGTACCCTGTAAAAAAAACTGGTAAGATTTTTCTTATGTACCCTATATTTAATGTAGATCAATATATAATCAAAGCGTACTTTGAGGTATGCTTTTAAGTTGACACATTTCAATGACTAGTGAGGCATTGAAACGCTATAGAACATAAACATGGAAATCACAACCTTATGTTTGCCAGAAGGTTATTGCAATTTAATGCAAAGTCTAACGTAATCTCACTGGCTATTATGTTAAACTTACCCACTTCCAAAACAAGGCAGGTGGCTTATTTTAAAATAAATGTTCCAATTTTATTTTGGAAATCTTAAATCATGTTACTGTAAGCATATCCTTAAAGGACTCAAAATGTTGCAATATTTTAGTTTTTAAACACAGCACAAAAAATACACAACTGACTATTTTAATTAGTTATCACAATAGCAACTTTTCTTTTTATAACTGCTTAGTTTCCTAGTTGAGGGACCATACATTTGTACTCTAAGCTCTTTCTGGACACTCGTCTCCATCTAAAAAAGTTGATCCCAGAAATGTGAAGCCATTTTACAACTTTTAATTAAAGAAGAAGGTCATTCTCTAAACTATTCCTATTGTTAAATGTCTGTTATTAAAATTTAACAATGATATATACTATTTATCCGTTCAACAACATGATGCAACCGTGCTGTGGAGTAGCCATGTGGTAGCTTTGGGTCAAATCATCCTTTTCCACTGAGGAACACAGGAGGCCAATGTGAGCTTACCTCCCACTGCTCCAGCAAACATTTCTAGATCTCCATCTTCTTCTCTCAGAGGGAAGATAGTTTCAACCTGCATATGATTTAAACTGAAGAAGTATATTACTGAATAGGTATTTTTAAAAAGATCCTTTGCATGGCACATGCAAATGTTATGTTTGTCTACAGAAAGCTAAATTTGTCAAAATTACTTATAACTGTACAAAGTGCCAGCATTTATGTTCATTGAAAAGCCTAAAGATGAAGATAGGTACCTAGTGGATTGCCAGAAAGCTTAGGCTTTTATTTTTTTTCCCCAATCAATTGTAATTTGGCACTTAAGTATTTAGAAATGATTTTTAAATTGTCTGCACTTTCTGGCATTTAAATGACCTTTAAAGAATTAGGTTGGAAGTATTTCAGTTGAATATATCATCTGACTATTTAATGATAACATTTTATTCATGGTTTTGCATTTGTCAGGCATTGTTTTGCATCGGTTAAGTTCAAGGTTTACAAATTTAATGCTCCTCACATGAAAGCAATTTTTACAGGAAGGATATTCTACTATGTAAAAAATTACAATCCCTAGAATACTTATTGGATATGAACAAAAGATAATATTTCTCTTTAATATGGTTTTAGTTCGAGATAAGTATCTCAGTCCAATTATACCTTCTTGTGGGAGGTGTCATGAATTATACCTCTGAGTAAAAAAACAGAAAGATAAAAACACAAACTGTTGCCATACCATTCCTTCTTCCATTCAAAGTTTGATGTTACCCAGCAGTTAAAGGAGGTGTGGATGTGTAGACTAAAATAAATAAATAAATAAAAAAGAAAAGGGTATTTGCAAATAGAAAGAAAGCCCACATCCTCCATATTAAATCTTTGGGCTTCTATCTGCCAGCATCCAGACTGCTGCTGCTGTGGTCAGTAAATATATATGTGATTCAACAATGTCCCAAGGTTTTCCCTAGCTTTGCCCATGGGAATTTAAAAGAGATCAATGTTTGTTTTTTCCCCGAAGATTTTTTAAAAATATTGATGCAATTGTAGAATATTAATTTCGTTAAAAAAAAAAATCTGATTGACAGGTAGGAATGCTGAAAATAGTTCATGAGCGCTTGCTAGCCATCCAAAGATTTGTAGCAGTTCTGAGAGGCAAATTCCTACACCACAGGAAAAAAATGTTAACCATAAATACTCCAGGAGAGTCTTTGAGTCTAAGATGTAAAATGAAGTGAAATCTATTGTCATCTTTTCATGATAAGAGAATGAAATGCAGATATAATTTTTATGCTTTAAACACTTCTGGTATGGTGAAACTTAGGTATATAAATTTAGATATGCATGTATGTGCGTCACAGCTGCAGTTAAAGTTTACTCTTGCCAGAAAATAGCACAAAATTTGTGCTAAATATTAAAACAGTTTACTTCATTAAGAATGGTAAAACAAATCATAAAATGTGAAAGCTCACTAGTCATTTCCTGGTTGAATCCCATCCATGGAAATTAGTACCCAGGGTTATAACAGTTGTGGTGTCATGGCTAACTTAAGAGTCCACTGAAGGATCTAGTCCTTGGATATTCAAAACTGGGGTGAATATGTTACATTTATACAATTGTTTGCTACCTTAACTTAAAACAGTGATATAAAGTTAAGTGCTGAATTGCCTTGATCTCTCAAGAGCAGTAAATACAGCACAACAGAGTTGTTTTTCATTTTCATAGCTATTAGTGATAATGTTGCTTATCTACAGACATGTAGAATTGCTAAAAGAATGAGGAAAATCTCACCTTTTTCCTGATGTATGTAAGTTTTAATTTTGAGAAAGTGCTATTTTGTGTATATATTTTATTTGATTTACTGTGAAATTGTTTACTTCAAGGAATGTTTAATACTTGTTTTTTTTTTTTTTTAATTATTATCCCTCAAAATTTATTTGGAAGAGAGGACTTGAGGAAGGTAAATATACATTTAGAGCAAGTGTCATGTTAATGTTTCAATGGTCATTTATTTCTATGGGAAGGGCCTCAGGTTAGATCTATATTGTAACTGTAATAGTATAGCAGGAGATAACCTTGTTAGATATAAATGCAGCCCTTTAGTATAAAAAAGATATTTCCAAATTCTCAGGTTCCAAAGCTTAAGATAAATGTCTGACACCTCAGGAAAGAGAGTCACTTGGTGGGAAAAGGAAGAGTGCCTGAAGGCTCAAAGGGAAAAAAAATGATATCAGAGTGGAAATGAGAAGCAAAACAAACATCTGCTTTTGAAAAAACAGAAATCACAGTGCAAAACTTTGAGCAGCACAATGTTTCTGGCTGTTGGACTGATTTGGGACATCCATTCTGTGAAAAAATGACTGCCCCCTGCCCATCTCTTCTAACACAATATGTTTCTGCTCAAACCACAATGCCTGGCCTACCAAAGGTACAAATACAAAATATCAGAAAAATTCTAATCCACTAATCAGCTTATTTACTTCATTGTATTGCACTTTTATTGAGCGATCTATGGACAAAAAAAAAAAAAAAAAAAAAAAAAAAAAAAAAAGGAGAAAAAAAAAAAGAAAATTAAAGCAAAGATAATCCTGCATCTCATTGCCATAGAGAATGTTTGGAGGTCTTTCTGCTGCAATCTCTGGGACTGCTCTTGTATATTCTGCCATTTGCAGGATCAAGCTGTATTTTTGCAAAATGTTATGAAAGCTATGAAAAACATCTATTCCACTTCCATGATTTTAAAAGTAAAGTCCTTAGTTGCAAAAAAAAAATATGATTTTTAGAAATTGTGCTTTTTGTTGCTCCTTTTGCCAATTAAGCTATATACTGCAGTAACATAGTTTGTCTGTGTTTCACTCTGTTTATGCTGATATTAATGTACTAAGATAAAACACTTCAGTTGATTCCTAGAAACACAACCCAAACTACATGCTTAAATTTCCATTCTTACTATTTTATCTGAAAAATCTTCTGAATGACCAGCCGAGAGCTTTGATTACCGTAAAAGTACATTCCTGTTTCTCCTGAAGTTTAAAAAGCCGATGGATTGGAAGCTCCATAGACTAATATTGCTCTCACAAGCCAGTGGGAGCTGAGTCCAGTACTTCAGTGATTACCCCAAACACACATTTAGGATGCAGTACATTCCCTTTAGAAATAACCATAAAAGTCATAGAAATCATGCGTAGGCTTAACTCATCAGAAAAGTTAGATTTCCACTTTTTGGAACATAAGCAAGTATATGGATTCTTTTTTTTTTTTTTTTTTTTTTTTTTTTTTTTTTTTTTTTTTTTTTTTTTTTGTGGAAATATTTCTGAACTAGAAAACCAGTACTTCAAAAAATTGACTGTTATATTTATAAATACTTAGGACCAGTTAGTTCTGCTCATTACTCATGCACATGATCACAGTGACTATTTCTGCAGGTAAAAAATGCAGATTCCAATATAGTGTCTGCAGAGAATTATTTTTTATGGATGGCCAGTTTGGTGTCAGTTCCTATTTCAGTGGCATTTATCTTAATTAAGCAGCACCTTTCTGCCATCTCGTTATTTAAAAATATGATTCTGAGTTCACCTTGAAAATATCCTACTAAGCATGATATTTTTGTGGGAATTTGCAGAAGTTCAATAGCACTCTGTTACTTGTTTGCAAAAGAAATTGAATAATTTGTTAAGAGCTATTAACAATAGTCAGAAATGTAAAGATGTTTCATTATTGTGCTCTTCTGACAGAATGTGTAATCCTTGTGTAATTTGTCCTCAAAATAACACCTGTCTGTATGCTCTTTCTTATTTAATAGAATAAAATATTGTTGTAAAAATATTTTTGAAATCATTGTTTAATGCTTACCTCTCTGTTCTCATTTTGTGAATGGCTTTAATATAACCTGATTTCTGTACTTAAGAGTAAGCCAAAATAATGTAGTGATGCTGCTGGAATAATTAGTACTAATTAATGCTTGGTATTTGTAGAATAGACATACAGTTTTCAGTGAACAAGCAGTACATTCAAAACTTTCAGGGTCAAATCTCTAAAATTTTAAAGAAATTATTATATATATATATTATTATATATATATATAAAAAGACCATAGACGAACCGTATCTTTCCTCACTGTCTGCCATAACTTCCTAATAGGAAAGCTCAGGAAGTATAGGTTAGATGAGTGGACAGGGAGGCAGACTGAGAACTAGCCAAATGGCAGAGCTTAGAGGGTGGTGATCAGTGGCACAATGTTTGGTTGGAGGCCTGTAGCCTCCAGTGGTGTTCCCCTGGAGTCAGTACTACTTCCAGCCTTGTTCAACTGACTTACTCATCAGGAACCTGAATGAGAGAACAGAGCTCACATTCTGCAAGTTTGCTGATGATCCAAACCTGGCAGCAGTGGCTGATGCACTGGAGGACTGTGTCATTCAGGGACGCCTCAGCAGAGAGGAACCTCGTGAAGTTAAACAAAGTCAAGAGCAGGCCTCTAGCTGGACAGCAATCACCGCATGGACCAAAACAGGTTGGAGGTTGACCTGCTGGAAAGCAGCTCTGCAGAGAAGGACCTGGGAACTTGGGTGGATAATGAGTGAACCATAAGCCATCAATATGCCCTTGTGGTCAAGAAGGCCCATGGTATCCTCAGGTGCATTAAGCAGAGCATTGGCAGTGGGTTGAGGGGAGCTGATCCTCCCTGCCTACTCAGGTGCTGGGCTGGACTGGTCAGTCCAAGAGAGGCATAAAGCCACTGGACAGTAAGTCCGCCAGAGGGCTATGAAGATGTTTAGGGGACTGGAGCACCTCTTCTATGAGAAAAGGCTCAGAGAGCTGCAGCTATTCAGCCTAGAGATTAGAAGGCTGAGAGGGAATCATACCAGTGCATACAGCTGTCTTAAGGGAGGGTGTCAGGAGACTAGGGCCACATTGTTTTCAGCAATGCTCAGAGACAGCACAACAAGCAGTGAGCACAAACTCAAACACAGGAAGTTCCATCAGAAAATGAGGAAACGCTTCTTTACTCTGACAGAACAATGGAAGAGGTTGTGGAGTCTCTTTTCCTGGAAATGTTTAAAACCTGCCTGGACATGATCTTGTGTAACATAGAGGGTTGGAATAGGTGATCTTCAGAGGTCACAGAGTTTTAGTTTTAATTTCAGTTTTATTCTGTGATTCGCTTACCACCCCTAACATTGATAGATGGACGAGCTGCAGAGGTCGGTGATGATCCCTTGTCTCAATATCCACCCTGTGCAGGCATTTTCACAGCCTGCCAATGCCTTCAGCAGGGCTAGTACTGTGCCTCTTGTCCTGCACTTCTCCATCCCGAGAGGTGTTAACTTCTCTCCCCAGCAGCATCTGGGTTTGAGCTACACCATGGCTTACAAGAGGATCCTTTTCATCGCCACAGGATGCAGAGGTGCTCAGGCTCTCCACCTGGCCACCCGTCCTATCACCACCAGCATCACCCAGGCTTCGGGACACCTTTCTCCTCCTCCTTTTGGCAGGCAATACTTTGCCCCGTTGCCCTCAAGCACAAGGGCTGACCAAAAGGAAGAGGGAGCTCACGGAGAAGGTCCCAAAAGCCAGAGAGGAATAGCCTCCTACTAGAAGGTCCCAAAAGCCAGAGAAGAGCGTCCTGCTGGGAGTCTGCTCATTGCCGGGATTCAGAGCGGAGGGCAGCCTGGCTCCTCACCTCTTTCAAAGCACCTCCAGGCACTCAGTTTGTGGGGTCACACTGAAGCCCTGTCAGCCCCAGCCCAGCTCCCTGCAGCTTCCTTGCCTGCACATGCGAGAGCAGGAAGGAAGCGTCTCTCACAGGCACACAGCGCACCTAGGATGCTGGTGCCACAGACACAGTCCCTGCTCAGACACCAGCAGCAGCCCCTGTCAGGGCCCCAGATAGTTTGCATGAATAGGTAAGTAACTATAAAACTAAAATTAAAAACCTGTACCTGGGTTGGGGATGTGTATTTAATAGTGAGCCTTCTTGGTAGTGAGCCTTCTTGGTCTTGCTTTATAGTAGAGTCTCAGTAAATTTTGGCCCAACTGAAATCACTGATGCTATTGTAAATGGAATTGTTGTTCTAGCTCTTGAAAACAAACTCAGTAACACTGCATGGCAGTTATTTATCAGGGATGTTTGGTAATAGTCTGTTGTAAAGAAAAATTAGCCTTCACTGTTTCACTAAAAATAGGAATGTAATGTTTGCTGAAGACTGCACAGCTTTCATATATAACACTTGCAAAACATGTTTTTCAACATAGCGATTCTATGACAGTGCAATAACAGAAAAAGAGCTTATCAGGGGTATAACATAAAAGTAGCTAACATAAAATACTTGAAGTCATTGCTGCACATCATCGTGAAGCATACTGAGCAAAGAATGATGCATACATGAACAAAGAATGATGCACACTGAATGAAGCTTTTTTTCTTCCATGGTGGTCATTGTGATATCTTGCAACAGTGACCCCTTCTAGGAATGCATCTGGACTTTCATGTCATGTCAGGTAATTATGAAGAAAAAGATGTGTTTTTGTGTCTAAGGGTGAATCTACATTAATGAGTAGCATCGTGCATTAACAGTAATTCTGGAAAGCAGCACAGCTGATGCTCCAGATTTGGCATCTGCAATACATTTTCTTAGAGATTTGTACTTCAGGCTAACTTTAGTGTGACTGCCTGTTAGCAATTAGAGCACATTAATCGTACCCTTGGAGTGTCTCTTCTGTGCTTTTATCCATAATTCCCGGTATTATCAAAAAGGAAGGTATTTCATGAACTCTGAGACCACAGTGTTGTGTAAAGCACACAGGAACAATTAGGAGATATGCTCAAAAAGCACACTCTTTGTGGGACCTAGAAGAAATTACCGTTGATGCACCTTTAACTTTACTGGCAGCCCAGGCCCTTTTCATGGAAAGTCTAAGCAATAATGTAACATAAGTATACACATGTAATATAAAAATTTATTATGAAACTTGTTTTTCAAACTTTTTTTTTAATATACAAACTCCATGAACAAGACAAGTATTTTCAGAATACTTGATGATAAAAATAACAGATAAACTCATACCAAGTTTAACATCAGAAAAAAGTGCAACCTCAAGGTCCACGTTTCAGTCCTAAAATGGTAGTTAATTTGATCTTACCTGCATATAAGAAAACCTGAAGTAAATCCTTCAAAATTGTTCTGTGTATGGTTAGAAAATAATAAAAAGGTTATATGCCAATCTTTGAGATAGTAAGTAGGTTTTGCAACCTCCTTCACTTCCCCCCACTCCTTGACTGCTTTCAAGCCTGCCGATTTATGTTGGTCCTGCTGCACACTGTATGCAGAGCAAGCTATAAGCTCCATCCTGCATTGTGGCTTTCTATTGTCCTCATCTCCTGTGTTGAACTCAAAATGCAAAATTTGACAGTACAGGAGCACTTAAACCTTGGCCTATTCACATTAAAATTGGCTGGGGGAAGGGCGGGAATGAGTGCTATCTTAAAGAGTAAGTTGTTACCTTTGACTATATAGTAACATTTAAATTACTGTGTCAAAAGATAGTGACTCTACAGGACAGTAAAGCAGATCTCATCAACGTACTGCACCTGCAGAATTTCTCAACTGAAGTGTCCCTTTTTAACTCAAACATGGCAAGGATGAGATCTTTTTAAGTTCTATTGTGATACGTTATCTTAAAACTAGGGGAAGGAAATGGAAGAAAGTGGTATGCTAGTGGGCCCGGTATTGTCTGTTTCCTCAAAGAATAGATTTTGACTTTTAATTCTTGGGCCATTGGAGACTGCAAAACATGCTCAAGATTCCCAAACATACTAGATTGATTATTTCTCTTTGGCAGGCAGCCAGACCCCACAGAAACAGTGCTTGCTTCTAAAACCCATGTTTTTTCTTATACAATAAATATCACTAGCCTGAGTTTTAAAGAAATCACAAATTTTGCTCATCTACCCCACCTGGGAAAATATTTATTGCTGTAACTTGTATTATTTTGCAATAATGAATAACTAAAGTAAAGTTAAGAAGGTTTTCAAATCTGCCTTCTGACTTTCCTCTTTTTCTTCTAGATTAAGCATCCATTTTAGCTTAGAAAAGCGATATTTGGAGTTTCGGGGAGTCTTCGAAAAAGAGTTGTTTGGTGTCTGTCCAGGTACGTAAGTTCTGAAAAATAAAACACTCAAGTATCTTAAAAGTGAGATACTACAAATAGTATTAAGTAAATGTATGAAAGCAAAAATACATATGGGTGAAACTTTTTAATTCAAGTAGTGTATTTTCACATGAAAGTGAGCAGTTAGGACTTATGCAAAATTTAAACTGAATCATGTTACACAATAGCATAATTGTGCATTCTTTACACATGGTCACTTTTCATCACAATCTTTGTTTTTAAAGGTTACAAAGCTGATCTCTTTATTCATATCATTACGGAAAATATTTTACTATCAATCCTTAATCTAATAGATTATTAATAGATTAATTAATTAATAATTAGATTATACTAATGATTAATCTAATTTAACTATTGGTTTAATCTGATGCCATTGAGTGGAATATGAATTCCTTTCCCAAGGAAGTATGTCCTGTATACATACATTTCCAACAAGTAGCATGTCCTACCCAGTAAAATGTCCCTTAAATAGGAAAGAAAAACATACCTGGGAAGTGATGATGGACTCTTTCCTTTAGATCCAGACCTGCTGCAGCTTGCAGGTGTCATTTTGTTTACAGATGGAATTTTACGATCTGGTGTCTTAAAGCCAGATGTAATGGTTGGAGTACCAGAATGGTGTGTCATGGTAGCCAGAAAATCTCTGCTATTACCATAATGTTTTGTTGTTTTGTTGCATGAGTTGCAAGTAACCAGCTGTGGAGAGAGAGAAGGAATTATCAGCTATTACAACAATCTTTCCTCCTCACATTAGAAAGCCACTGTAAAGAACTATCCAAACTGTTCTCTGAATGTCATGACACCGGCCCAACTGGTTAACTGTCTGCTTAAGTGAAACATAGAGATTAAAAAAGGAACATGTATTTTATGTCTAGTATTTTCAGTCAGGTTTCATATGGGCCTTAAATCTAAATGCAAATATGTGATGCTGCAAACTATGAAAAACAACCTCAGCAGAACGTAATGATGAAGCAGCACCTGAACTATCTGAATTTACATTAGTGGTGTTTGTATTTCACCAAAAAATATCATAAACAAAGTGATCAAAACTCATCAAGCGTATTCAACTCCCAATGAAGTTATGTTACAAACTTTCAGGGAATGTTGAGATAAGATATTTATAATACTAAAACCTCAAAAATAAACATCCATAACTAATAACAGCAAGTCTCATCAAACAAAGAGCCTTTTTATTGGTGTAAAATACTTACTACAAAACAGTGAAAATTCTAGACAAAGAGCACTTTGTCTTCTTTTGTCTACTTCTAGACTGCAGGGAACACAGCAGCACAGTATGTTACAGATTTGCAGCAAAATAGATAGTTAGACAGTGACAGAGACTGTCAGATATTCCTAATGCCCCTCACTGTCATGGCAAATACTCATACTAGGAAAAATGAGGGTAATTCCAACAGACAACTTTTTAAAATACAGTTACACAGGCTGAAAAATATAGTTACATGATAAATGTCTCTGGTTCATTCAATGTCATATTGAGAAAAAAAACTTAAAAAAAAAAAAAGCTGTTTAGAAAACATCAATATCTAAACATTCTTCATTACACAGTGTGCAAATTCACCTTAATTCAGACTCCTTTAAAATTATTACCTTTAAAAGTCCGTAAATAAAATATTTTCATATAAGCTCTTGGCTGTCTCTAGACATCAGTTAAACTCACAAACTAAGAAGATTAGTATTTATACATTTCAGCTATCAATGTGTCTTTAATCTTCTAAATGAAATTCGTAAGAAGAAAATAAAATCCAGTATCACATGACAGTGTGCTACTGCAGAGAATATAAACGGAGGTCAACACTTCACAATTCAGGAGTCATTGAAATGCACTTTCCCAACTAGTTTCCACTCTCTGAACAGCATATACAGATAACTACATCTTTTTAAGAGTCCTGAAATAGCTTATAATGTTATATACTTTTTTATGACTTTCAAGTGAAGATCAAGATATTCCTGCTTGCTAAGAAAGGTATCACATGCATTACCTGTCATGTTGTTGCTGGGCATAATTCTCAACCACTCCTGAAGTTTCACCTTGCAAGTCTCAAGTAATAGGTTATAGTTTATCTACATTGCTGATTTTGAAAGCTATCAGTTCCTGACAGTATTTTAAATACTGAATATCCATAATACTTAAATCATAACCCACAGCACAAATGTAAACAGAACATAAATGCAGTTTAAACTGAACCTATTTAAACTGAATTGTAAACTACTCATATGGAAACACAGAGCATTTGATGAATTCCACCACTACAGAGTAAATCTAAGAACCCTTTGTAATTCTGTAAGACAATCCTAAAACAATGCTGTCTGAAGAGATCGTTCTTCGTATGTACTCTAAAGTCTATTAATTCTACAGCAAGAAAAAAATAAGAACTAAAAGCAAATCTTGCAGCTTCTGTGTTTTTTTTTTTTTTTTTTTTTTGCTGCTGCTGCTCCTGTACTACAATGATTTACAGTTAGAAGTGCCAAAGGAGCTGTATCAAGCTAAGGCTTTTTTTTATCCTGACAGATACAGATGACATCTGTATTTCCTGAGTTTCATTTTTGTGTTATTGTCTCTGTGATCACTTTTAGTTCTGCAAATATTACTTGACAAATCAGCAGATTCTTATCTGAGAACATGTCAAACACACCATTAACTGTCAGGCCTGTCATGAAACAGGCTGCTATTTCATAAAAAGATAAAATGTTTTCCTTATAATTGTCTATGGATATAAATGAAGTAAAGCTTTTAAATTTAGTTACTTTTAACCACATATACAACTAAAAAAAAAAAAAAAGATGTTTCAGTCACTCAAGTGACTAAAGTCAGTCTTGACATCAATCAAGTCTTCTTTTGATATGAAACATAAGGGTAAAAACAACCTGACTTAAGTAAAGCCTTATCTTCGGTGCACATTTGAATTCTTAGGAATGTCTTCTAGGGGATTCACAGCAATGTAAGGATTTACATTACTGTAATAAGGCTTTGCATGTAGCAGAGATGCCTGGTTCTAGTTTTACCATATTCATACAAATAAGACAAAAGGAACAGGCAAACTCTGACATTCTTGCCATTTTTGCAAAGCTACAACAACTAATGCAAACACTGACAGTGGAAATGCTCAAGTTTCTTGGTAGGAAAAAAATTTCTTAATTTTAAGCAAGATCTTGAATGCCTACAGAGCATGTCTGAAATGCTGCTAAAGACCACAGGAAGGGCAGTGCTGTTTGTATACCTTTGCTGACATGTTTTTTTAGGGGAAGGGAAATAAGGGATGTCTGTTCATACCATTGTGCTCTTGATCTCACTGGCGTGGAGGATAGATTTCCACCAGTGTTGACTGTGAATGTGAACAGAATCTACCCCAAAAGAAAGGAAGAGTTTTGTACTCATGAAGGAAGGGAGATGCGTAGGTGTGAGCTCCACTTCCAAGTGGATGACTTGCACATCATGCCTGCTGTGCTAATGAAAAGGTTTCAAGGAAATATTAGGAACTTTGTGATTCCAAGCAAACACCCTTACCAAAACACTTCTCGAGTCCCTGTACTTTCTCAACAGCTTTGCCTGCTTCATATTGAGTTTATGGTTCCTCGCCTCTCGTCTTAGAACCCTCTCTATCCGCGGAGTCACCTTCATCTTCGGTCTGAGACGTACACGGTGGTTATCCGGAACGAGCCACTGGAAGCAGTAAGGACATATCCCCTCTTTTCGCAGTTCATCATCTAAAGATGAATCAAGGTAAAACAGGAAAGTTTAAACGATGAAAGTTAAAATTATCATTGCGTTTTTCAAATAAAACTTTTTAAAAAGCACGCAGCATGACCGCTGACCCCAGCAGACGACACACTTGGCACGTCAATCCGGCTACAGGCACGGCGGGACACATCTCCCCCCGCGCCACCACAGGGCACGGTTGCACCTTCACTCCAGCAAGCACCATGGCGGTGGGGCAGCGCGGCCCCACGGCGCGCGGCCCCACGGCGCGCGGCCCCACGGCGCGCGGCCCCACGGCGCGCGCCGC